GTCTGGTCATCCAACGGCTCACAGCGACACTACTGTTCATCTTCTTTCTCTCTCCTGCTATCGACCACTGTACCGCCGCGGGCGCTAGGGATCACCGGAGCTTCGGCGCGCTAGGGCGCCCGCGACAGCCGCCTTCTTCCCCTCCCCCTCCCTGGTCTGGCCGCCTCCACCGCCGCTAGGGCCCCTAAACCGCCTGACCACCATCCCCACCGTCTGCCCTGCCTACCTCCCCTTGGCCGACCCCTTCTATACCACCGGAGTTGGAGAAGACAGAGGGGGAGAGGCTCGCCGGAACCCTAACTGGCAAATCCAAGAGGAGGAGGAGGCCTACCTCGGCGGATCCGCCATGGCCGGTGAGCTCGCGCGCGGGTGGGGCTCGCCGGGGAGGAGCTTGCCGGGCGCCGGGGAGAGAGAGAGGGGCGTGGCCGCCGAGAGGAGCTCGCTCGGGGAGAGCACCGCGTGGGGAGGAGAGGAGCGCGTCGAGAGGAGTCGAGTGTCGAGAGAGAAAAAAACCCACTCTTCCGTACTAATATAATGCATTGAATTCTACCTCATTTGAAACTCGCTTAGATTAGAAGATCACATCATATATTTGATACTTGCACTGAATGTATTGAACTTCCATCTCGAATATATTTTCAAAAAATGGACCAGAGAAACAAGTTTAAAATTAAAAAGTCACATGTGATTCGGGATCTCTAAGTTTGGAAATTGGAATCCAAAACAAGATGATACCTGAAATAAAATAATATCATATTATGAAGTTAAACAACAACTTTGAACTCCCATATCCATGAACTTCAATTTGGTGTTTCGAAAACCTAGCAAAGTTAGGGTTTCACCCAAGGGGGATGTGTCATGATTCAAGGAGATTGAGTAGGAGACAATAAAGTCAACATAAAGAAGAGGGGTATATATCATCGGAAATGGTGATATACTATTATGGCTTATGGATAGGGAACAAATGGATGGTGTAAGGTGAGCGAAACAGTTGTGACGAGGGCTCCAGGGGGATGATTGATGGATTTCCAAAATGTATGGATAGAATTGAGCAACATGTGCTATAATTTCAATGGATAAATAGACGTTTCCAAACACTTTTCACTTTTATAGTTGGTCCCATTCCAACAACCCATGAGTCTTGCTTATAAAGTTGGTCCATCCCAACCATCCACAAGCCAGTGTCACATCAATGCACCAAAGCCCACAACCAAATAAGTATGTCTAACTCTATCCACAAGAGTAGCCTAATAAATAAGGGTTACTCTGCTTTATAGGTTGTTTTCTCTACCATTAATTTCTTATATAATACTAAACCTAACAAATTATATGTTTTATCTACAAAATTTATGAGGTAGATGCACATAATTAAAAACACTCTAAAATTGAGTATCTGTGTTCACACTCTCGCTGGGTTTGCCCCAAACACTCACCGAAGTTCATATGTTTTTCGATGCCAAAAAATTTTCCTCCAATATCACGCTATTTTTGTGTGCCAAAAACCTTTAAAAACCTACTACGTGATCCAATATGACCTTTTTTGGCTGGCCTCCGGTTACCTCTAGCCGGCCAACAGTCGCCAGGGGCAAATGGGCAATCTAGCGGCTGGCTAGGGTGGGCCGCCAGGGGGGGGGGTGTCAGTTTATCCGTTTATGTTGTCAAAAAATGGGAGGTGTTTAATTTTTTTAGGGCTCTCTCGGAAAACTATTTTATCCTAATGAAACTCATTTTATTCTCATAAAACTTGGATCCTCTTTTTCTTCACCGATATTGTATCATGTTAGCATATTTTCTAAGTTGATAGTTTATTTATTATTTATAAAACTCTCATTATATCTCACTCTGATTGACCTAAGCAAGAGGAGAGAGCACATGCACATGATTTTTGCTACTAATTTAAAATAGAACGGCTGTTGAGGGAGCTGAAAATGAGGAAATTCGTGACATTTTATTTGCTATCATAAATTTACATCTATTTTTTTGGATCAAGGCCAAACAAATTTTAAGCTTTTTTTCACTCTCTTGGACATACACATTAGCAATCATTACTATGGATGAAAATGGGACGGGAAATTTCCGTGCCGACCGACACCGTATACCGCATTAACCGATCGCATACCGTTTTTTTTAGGAAAAACAGGAAACGGGAAACCGACACCGTATTTTAGGCAAGAACGGGAACGGAATCAGTTAAGGAATTTTCCCGACCGTATTCACGGTTCCCGTATTCGGGCAGAAAAATTTCCGGCGGTATTCCCGTATTTTGTACACCTAAATCTCATATTCAGCCCACTGATTGATGCAGCCCACGATACCTCCCGCTCCCCCGCGCCACAGGCCCAGCCCACTCCCGTCCGCTACTCCCTCCCGTCCATCCCAAAAACGGCGGCCAAACCCTATCCGCTATCCCCAAGTCCCCGACTCGGCGACTCCCGTCCCGTGCGGCGCCGCCTCCGCCTATCTGCGAGAGCGAGACTGCCCAGCTGCCCCTGGCGACTGCGAGCGGCCGAGCGCTGCGCGCCTGCGCCGCTGCCCCCGGCCGGCCATGGGCAAGGAAGGGGCTAGCGACGGTTCCCATTTTGTGTTACCGCTTCCCGATCGTAATCGACACGTTCCCGTTCGAAATATTCCGTTTCCGATATCCCGTAATACCAGTTTCGTTTTCCCGTCCGGCCTTCCCGTTCCTGTTTCAGTTCCCGGCAAAAAAATACAGGAGCGGGAATGGTTAAGACATTTTCCCGACCGTTTTCATCCCTAATCATTACAATGGTTTGGTAAAAAATCATCAAACATTATACTAAGCAGAGACGGGCAGCGCTTCCATTTCTGGCAAATTGTCACTATTAAATGGTCATTTTCAGTGGTGGGCATGTGGCCACCTCTGTGAATCAGTTAACAGAGCCAAACACTTTAAGATGCCCACCTCTATTAATGGTTTTTAGAAAACCCAAAAACCAAAAAAAAATAGTATCTTTGGGATTCAAACTCACGACCTTCAGCACATCTAGCTTTTCTCTATCACTAGACTATACACTCATTTGTGATTGTATAGACAGCTATCATTTTATATCAACATTTTGTAATTTTGCATTTATTATTTCAACCCTTAAATGATTTCAAATAAAAAAAGTTTCAACTATAAGGTTTTAAATCTTGTCAAGGGTTACAACTTTGATATAGGATGTATCTCCATTGGAGATTGTTTGAAAATTTTGAATATCAAAATATATGAACTTAAAACAAATGTTTAAGACTCTTAAACAAATTCAAATAAAGAACTTATCAACAATAAACTTGTAGATTGGGTCAACCACTACAACTTTGGTATTAACCATGTAAACATTCAAGGTGGTTTGAAAATTCTAAATTTTGAATTTCAAAATCTAAGAACTTAAAACACATATTTGGGACTCTAAACAACCTCAAATTAAAAAATGTTTCAACTACAAAGTTGAAGATTATATTGATATCTATAACTTTGGTATATACCATGACAACATTTGAAAATTTTAGATTTCACATTTTAAAATCTGAGAAGTTAAAATAACATTTTTGGACTCTAAACAGTTTTAATAAAAAACTTATCAACTACAAAGTTTTAGATCGTGTAAGGAGCTACAAATTGATATAAAGTTCATCTTCATCTGAGTTCGCATGGAATTGGATGCAACTATTTCTAGAAACGGGCATCTAATCGACTTTTAGATACGGATGCTTAGGTTGACTTTTAGATACAAACAGGTTTGTCTGTGAACCTACAAAAAAAATAAATCTATTTATTTATGGGTCCGCGGACAAATCCGCTTGCATTCCTATATAAGCAAGAGAAGCTAAACAATGACAGATGTTGGTAAAGAAAATAATACAATGAGCTTGTATTCAATCAAACAGGAATAAAAGTGGTCTTCCTTTGTTGGCAAGTTAGCAGCCTGCGTGACGTTGGGAATCAGCTCACTTGCAGTTGCAGGGCGGCCGCATACATACTTCTGGACTTTGATCACATAATCACACTTGTCAACTTGCCCCTACCTTGTGCTTTCAGTTAAGCACCTCCTGTGACATGCATTGCTAACTGCTAAGCTAGTATGCAGCAGGACCTTTTGATACACCTTATTCCGCTTCTTTTTGAGGAACTACTCATCCCAGGCTTACTTTGCTGACCTGCTTGGCTTCCCATTTCATGATTTCAGACGAAATTAACCACCTCAACAATCGCACTGGATACCAACCTTAGGGCTCACGCTTGTTTTTGTTTACTCCACAAATAAACAGCAGCTTGCCCCTAATGCCAACACAGCACGTACGCGTAAGCAGTCTCAACGGGACGGGGCCGTACCCCGTACGGATTATATATCCCAGATCCGCTGTACTAATATAATCTTGCAGATCGAACCTATGACGTCGAATTGCTACTGCTTTGCATCTTCCAGAACAATAAAGCTGAATAGATCACACAATCATAGAGCTATTAGCTAGCTTTACTTTGACGATCCTTTCCAGCAATATAGATGATCAGAGAACCGTCTGATTCGACCTTCCTAGGCCCGAGGGTACACTATTTGTCGAGCACTTGAACCACTACTTGCCTCTGGGCATCTGATTCCAGGCTCACTAGCTCTGAAGAATCTCCTTTACGTCACAGTCCAATGCCCACCACCAATAGTCCGTGGATACATACATAAATCATGCAAGACAATCTGAATATGTTCCTTTGCATTGCATGCATGATATATAGGAATCAATTAGCTAGTAGTCAAAAGCCATGCGGCCGGATTGGTGATAGATAGATATAATAACGAAAGGTTCTCTCCTTGCGTCTGAAGATTGGTTGGTTCATCTTCATCAGCCAGCCGCCAAACATCGACTCCTACTCCTAGCTTAGCTAGCATAAAGAAACATTATTCTCATTCTCAAGAAGCACAGCTACATAGGCACCAGACTCTGAGAGAGCAGAGCGCGAGAGAGGCCGTGCACGGTGCACCTCGTCCTCGTCGATCGCCATGGGGAGGTCCTCTTCCACGGAGAAGCTGGTGTGCTTCGTGCTGGCGGTCCTGGCCGTGCTGTCCCCGCTGTACATCGACCGCCGGCCCGCGGCGGAGCGCGAGGAGGATGAGGAGGAGGACGGCAGCCCGTCGGCGCTGTGGCTGCCAGCGGTGCTCGTCGCGCTCATCTTGGCCATCAACGTGACGTGCTTCATGGATCGGCGCGTCGTCAGGTTCGACCCCTACTGGATCCACCGCGTGTGGGGGTCCTCCGGCGGCCTCCTGGCCATGCTGCTGCTCCTAGGCTTCGTGCTCAGGTGCAAGGCGTCCCTGCTGTATACCAGTACCAGCTAGCTAGCTCGATCGGTCGGTCGTCGTCGTGGGGCTTTTCTTTTTGCCGGGTCGGAGAGGATGCGTGCGTCAAGAACACAGCGTGTTTTGTCACACAAATGTGTACGTACCCGTGACCTTTGGATCCTGAGCAAGTCTTGTCCAGGCTCTGCGCATGTGAATTGTCTTGTTCAGGCTCGATCTGCGCATGTGAATTTGCTTCAGACACGGTCTTCTCGCGAATTATGCTTCTGCTTCAGTTCCAAACTCTACTCTTGGTAATCCGTAATCTGCGCGGTTGATCATCATCTTTGCTATACTATTGCTCTCTATGTTACTTAACAATATCATACAGCTGCAAAACGAACTAGCAGTAGAGTTAGCAACTGTAGCGAAAACTAATAATTTACTGGCATCAGAAAACAAAGTTATTTATTACAAGGATGGATTGGCCATCTCCATAGCCAGCACTAGAATTTTGGTTACAGAAGTGTATACTGCCATCCAACAATGCTTTGAAGAAGACAAGAAAAACAGACCAAAGTACAGAAGTGCAAGTCACAGACCTTAATAATCTGATCCTTTGAGACAGTACCTAGTTCCCATTCTGACTCCACTTTACACAATGTACGATCTTTTTATGACCATGGCTGTAGATACAGATCAATATCGTAACACAGATCTTCAAGAATTAACAAAATATGGAAGTGGCAGGAACACCGATAACAGGCTCAGCTCTCTGCCACTTTTTTTTTGCATCCCAAAGGTTCACAAGATAGTCTTTGCCACCTATTGAGCACATAATTGAATAAGTTTATAGCATGATTAAACTCATGAAACAAGTATGAAGAAAAACGGGTACAATCCCACTCACGAAAAAAATGAAACAAGTACGAACGTTTTGTTCATGACCAAAACTTGCATTGCCCTGCTAAAGGTTGGTCACGCCATAGTCTTTTCGGTACCTGTTTGGTTCAATGCCATAGCTATGGCGTGCCACACTTTCTTAGCACTCTATCCATGCGTTATAGACTCATTTTCGTGTCAAACTTTATCACAAGTGTGGCTTCGATTTTGCTCACCACATTTTCTGTGGCAGCCACAGATTGCCGAAGGTCAAGCGTGACAGCTACGACACCTACAAAACAGGCTACTCGACAATTTTTAACATCCCAACCGTGCCCTGGTTGAGTTGTAGGGAAATTCAGGTAATTTGACGAAAAAAACAAAGTAATATCACATGATAACTTCAAATGATCAACTGTAAGTCAGATCAATATTTGCAAGAAAAATCTAGCAACATTACTAGCTAATATTTTTCCTCTTGGCATCTTGCTAAAGTCCGAAACCTTCACAGTCCTGTCATCAGAGCACGAGCAGAACTTCAAGTCTGTTCTTGAAAAGAAACTGTTTGAAGGACACGTTTCAGCGCACATGGAACATGAACTTTGTAGCAAACAAGAAAAAGTGCATCAAACAGCCATCACCTTAAAACCACGAACCGATTCTCTATGAGCTGTTTTCTTCACTTTGACGTTGTTCATGTTGCTTTGCCAATATCTGCAGAAGAATTCAAAAAGTTCAGCTAACAGGTTAAACGATGTAAAGTTCAAAATGACGATTTTTTCTGGAAGGTAAGCCTAATCTATGTGCAAAGCAATGTCATGATGAAAGTTTGATTAATTGCAGGTGCCATTCATGCAAAATACGTCAGGACCAAGTCAATTTTCAAAGGATACTTACACACAAGATCAAGAAGCTCGTCCCTCCATCACTTGAGTAATCCAGCGAATCGTCCCCTCTGACAACGGAGTGGCCTGTTCGCTTGAACTTATTAACCGGCTTATCAGTTAGAATCTACAGTATTTTTATTTCACAACAAATCAGCCAAGGCCGGCTTATCAGCCGGCTTTAATACCAGCCGAACAGGTCCGAGTCCTCGGCCAAACATTTTTTTTGAGCTTACAGGCCCTCCGTTTGCATGCTGCTTTGTGGGCCGGAGGGATAGCTTCGCGAGCTTACCATCGGATGCGCGATGGAGAGTCCTGCTCCTGTGGCTTCGATGTCCCAAGACGTGGAAGTCCCCAGTTTCGGATCGGTCGGTAATTTTTCCGTAACAGCTATAGCGCCTCTCACTTATTCCGCCGGCGTTGTCCTAGTTTCTACAACCGCGTCTCCCGCCACCGCTCAGCGCCGACTTCTTTTCTATATATCCTTGTCCGTGTTTTGAGTTATCACCGACGAGTAAATTTTTAGTATTGTGCGTCTGACTTAGATGGTGTGCTTAGAGGACACGAGATTTATACTGGTTCGAACAGAAAGTCCCTACGTCTAGTCCGTCGCTGCTGCTCGTGTTACTAGCACTGAAAGTTTATAGTAGGGGTTACAAACGAGCGATAGAGGGAAAGGATCCCAAGTCTCTGGTGAAAGGAATGAGTGGGTGCTGAGAGCTCGATCACTGCTCGGCTGTGCGTTCGTGTCGTGCTCTTGTGCGGATCTGTATCGGATCTTGATGGGTCGATTGGTTTAGGATCCCCTTCATGGGGCGCCCTGCTTTCCCTTTTATAGACCAAGGGAAAGCGTGGGTTATAGCGGAGGAAAATGAGAAGAACGAGAGAGAGGAAGGCATTCAAGATCGCCGGGTCCTTCTTTTCCTTCATACGGGTCCCGCCGATCCTGTAGATGTCAACAGGGACGGCTCCACATCGCGGTCCTGTCCGTTACTAGCGCAATGCGTAGGCGTCATCTGTCGGTCATGGCGCTCCACTTCGTCCTGGCGGACGTCGTGGTGAACTGACACGTTTGTTAGTGTTCGTACGAGTGTTAGACAGAACAGCATCGGTACGTCCGACGCTGTTCTTAATGTGAATCCTCAGGTATGACCCGTCATGGCCGCGGGTTACATCGGGGCATGATGGTCTCTTCCTTGGTGTCAGAGTTTTGACCCAGACCCATACACTTGAACCCGTAGTGGTTGGCGGCGGTATGGGTCCCCGTCGGGCGAGATGGAGCCCGCACCCAAGGGGTCTGGTGACGTGGAGCCCGCGGTCTTGGGGTCGGGCGAGGCAGAGCACAAACCAAAGGGTCGGGCGAGGCAGAGATCACGGCCACGGGGTCGGGCGAGGCGGAGATCGCGGCCTCGGGGTCGAGCGAGGCGGAGCCCGCCCTCGGAGGTGGGGTGAGGCGGAGATCGTGGCCTCGGGGTCGGGCGAGGAGGAGCCCGCCCCCGGAGGTCGGGCGAGGCCGAGATCGTGGCCTCGAGGTCGGGCGAGGCGGAGCTCGCCCCCGGAGATCGGGCGAGACGGGTTCGGGGAGCTCTTACTGGATATGTTCGAGTGAAATCCGGGTTCATCGTTCGTGACGGGGTCGGCATAACCCGTATGGGGCATCCTACTACTCCTTGCCCGTGTCTCGACAGCGGCCTGAGCCGTCTGACCGACCTAGGTGACCCGCTGGCATAGGACTTTTCTGCGGAGATAGAGGATGAGATCATCCTCCCCAAAAATTTAGTTAGACAGATAAGTCAGGCGGCGAACTCGTAACAAGTGAACAAGCTCTTAAATTTCGTTATGGCCAAATAGATTTTTATTCCTTCTCCCCTTTTTGTATAAAAAGGTTAATACATTCTGACCCTTTCCGTCGTTAAGGCTGTAAAGCCCGGGGTGCGGGTTAACAAACTCTGATCACGCTGGTGAGCAAAAACGCCATAGCCACTGGGGCGTAGGTTTCTTGCAGTCCGACCAATTTTACTCAGCGTCTGTTTCCGCAACCCTTACTTCTGGGTCTTAACGTGAGAAAGGGTTGGACATAGATAATGTCTACCGGGTGGATATACTCTTAGACGCGTACCGACTCTTTCCATAGTTAAGGCTAGAAAGCTCGGGGTGCGGAAAAAACTCTGATCACGCTGGTGAGCAAAAACGCTGTAGCCGCTGGGGCGTAGGTTTCTTGCAGTTCGACCAAGTTTACTCAGTGTCTGTTTCCGCAACCCTTGCTTCTGGGTCTTAACGTGAGAAAGGGTCGAACGTAGAGAATGTCTACCAGGTGGATATACTCTTAGATGCGTACCGACTCTTTCTGTAGTTAAGGCTAGAAAGCTTGGAGTACGGAAAAAACTCTTATCACACTAGAGAGCAAAAACACCGTAGCCGCTGGGGCGTAGGTTTCTTGCAGTCCAACCAGTTTTACTCAGCGTTTGTTTCTGCAACCCTTGCTTCTGGGTCTTAACGTGAGAAAGGGTCGAGCATAGAGAATGTCCACCGGATAGATATGCTCATATCAGCCCCCGAGTGAGGCCCGACCCCCTGTCGTTGCTAGGGTCGGGTGTCACTAAAGATCGGAGAGTTGGTAGCGAAACTGATAAGAGAAAGTATGCGTATATTAAGGGTAAAAATGACGTAGCTATTTGATGTTCCAGGCATTGACGAAGACTTCGTCGTCGATGGCCTTTAGGTTGTAGGTGCCTGGTCGGAGTACCTCCGCGACAACATACGGTCCCTCTCATGGCGGAGAGAGCTTGTGGCGGTTCTTGTTGCTCTGGACGAGGTGGAGCACCAGGTCCCCGACGTTAAACGCCCTACCCCGCACTCGACGGCTGTGGTACCGGTGTAACGCTTGCTGGTACTTGGCCGAGCGGAGGAGGGCAACGTCGTGAGCTTCATCTAGCTGGTCCATGGCATCCTTGAGGGACGCCTCGGCTCCGTGTTCATCGTACGCCCTAACCCTCGGTGCTCTATAATCGAGGTCGGTCAGGAGGATAGCCTCAGAACCGTAGACCATGAAGAATGGTGTATAGCCGGTGGCCTGGCTCGGGGGCGTCCTCAGGCTCCAGAGCACCGTGGGAAGCTCCATGACCCATCGTCCGCCAAACTTGTTCAACCAGTGGAAGATTCTAGGCTTGAGGCCTTGTAGGACCATGCCGTTTGCGCGCTCAACCTGTCCGTTTGTGCGGGGATGCGTCATGGCGGCCCAATCGATGCGGATGCGGTATTCATCACAGAATCGGAGGAACTTCTTTTCGGTGAACTGCGTGCCATTGTCCGTGATGATGGAGTTCGGGACCCCAAAGCAATGGACGATGTCGAGGAAGAACAACACGGCTTGCTCGGACTTGATCGCGGAGATTGGTTGAGCCTCTATCCACTTTGTAAACTTGTCTATGGTGACAAGCAAGTGTGTATATCCCCCGAGCGCCCTCTTGAGAGGTCCGACCAGATCGAGCCCCCAGACCACGAACGACCACGTGATGGAGATCGTTTGGAGTGCTTGGGCTAGTAGGTGGGTCTATCGAGCATAGTATTGACACCCTTCGTAGGCGCGCACGATATGTTCAGCATCGGCTACCGCGGTCGGCCAGTAGAAGCCTTGCTAGAATGCGTTTCTGACCAGGGTTCTAGGCACGGCATAGTGACCGCAAACCCCACAGTGGATGTCGCTCAACAACCACTTCCCTTGTTCGATGGGGATGCAGTGCTATAGGATCCCGGTGTGGCTTCACCAATAGAGCTCGCCCTCAATAAGGACAAAGGACTTGGCGCAACGCGCTAGCCATTGAGCCTCCGTTTTGTCCGT